TTTAAGACAGATTGTGAAGCTATATAACTAAACTGATTTGATGATGAGCAAAAATTTGTACTCAAAACGTCATGCTCCAGTTGTTCATACAGCATCATCACTGAGTGATCTTTGAAATATACTTATCTAATATGGAAATACACTCTACTGCGTGCTGTGGCCAATTTCTATGCTTACATCACGGTGTCGGCTTTCTTCCAAAGGTGTATACAATGAATAACTTAGGTAGACGAACAGAGGAGAAGTATGTGACACATAAAATTACATAATTTTAGAGATGTGAACATCAGTTCATATAAACATCGTCTGTTTCTGGCAACATCATTGTGATTCTGTATGGGTGATAAGATTTCTGATGTTATATATTGTGGTACACTTAACGTCTGTGACGATAAACATTTACATCACTGGTGGCATATTTGTTCCTTCGCTGTACTGAGTGGCCGCATTGTGCAGTTCATAGAACTCATACAGTTCTAGTGGGACTAGTTTTATATTGGTTGTTTCTATTGAATATTTGATTTGCGTTCAGCGCTTGGACGCTTGAGTTTGTAACATCACGATGTTAGCTGTTTTCTCAAAACTCTTGGCTTGCTTTCTCAGTCACGTGGGATTTCCATCAGATTGCATTTTATTTTTATATTTCTATATTTCTTGATGTGCTCCATTGAATGACTAGTTCTCATATTGTTCCCATAGACAAAATGACTGCAACCTTATAATTTTACCATGAACCAAATTTATGTAATTCAAATAATACTTATCCATTCCTGTACAATTGGTGTGTCCTACACAGGTAGGAAAAAATTTATTTTATTAAATTACTATTATTCACTATGCTTACTCTGCGTCGGTGGCACAGCGGTTAGGACGCTCGCCGACCATGCACATGCGGCCGACGCACTCCTTCACCTCGCTAAGCCAGTAGGGAGATTGGTAAAGCGAAAAGGTTGGGCATGAGGCTAGCAACCCCATCCTGTAAAAATTAAAACTGTTACAGAAACTTCAAGCCTCTAGCTTGGAGCCCTATGTTCCACTGGGAACGTGAAGGAAAAAAAACTATGCTTACTAATCGCATATGTAATTTATCATATTGATGATGCCTGTAAACTGGCGTCCCTCATTTAAAAAATGAGAATTTACTATTATTATTATTTTTCACTGTGGTCCGATATCAGTGATAAAAGTTTCTGATAGCTAAGTTTCCGTGCTACCAGTTGTGGTGTTTCAAATGTGATGGGGTGTAATGATCAAGGCAACTTGTATACATTGGCCGCTCTCAGGAGGTGAGCACGATGTGCACAGTCTTTCTCCTCTTTCAAGCTGCTGGTAGTGGTACTCGCTTCACTTTATTTACTGGTATATATATCAATAATGAAACCCCAGTTTTTTCAAAGAATCACTGATATTAGATATTTCTTGATATTACCAAGTCTAATGGTGATTTGGTGTTGTTCTTTACGGGGTAGGGTTGCCGGCCTCATTTCCGGCCTTCCCTCTTTATCAAGCTAAGGAAAGTAAAGGCATGCGCTGGCCAGGAATCGAACTCCAGACCACTTGAATGGTTCTACCTTTGAACCACCGACGCCGCCGATATGAACTACTGTTGATCAATGCAGTGATATCACCGAGACATTCAATTATTATTTTCAGAAGTTATCAGGATAGTCATCAGACTATCTGATGTTGTGAAGCTGTTTAGAGTGAGATGCCTAAGATAAACAATACACATACTGAACGATCGATTTCCACGATGAATACTGTTATCTATCTATCATGGGGTTGAGTTTGAGAAAGTTCTGGAAGTGAGGAAATGAAAATATGGCATGAATTCATTAATTGCGTTCAACTATTTCTTTAAGACACTCAGAGAGGAATACACTGTCTAGCTGGTGTCCGCTAGATGCTAAGAGTCAATGCGTATCTAGAAATCGTTGTCAACGGTACGGACACACCCAGTCACTGTGATCTCCTAGAGATTTGTTTAATCTGCAGTATCCTGTATGTTAATATTCTCTCCCTTATACACTTCCTTAAATTTCTTCATTTTTCTGTGCCTTTATTTGCGATAACTTGAACTTCTGCACTTCCCTATTCTGCATTCTACACTGAAAATTCAGCTACTGTCTATCTCTCCATAGTTTTCAGCCTAATGCCTAACTGAACTAACTGTATCTTCATAACTGTTGTCTAGAATAGTAAAACACATTAGAGACAACCTACTTTGAACCTCCACTATCACGATGCATTTCCGTTTCTGCGTGTATGTGTGTGTGCGTGTTGGCGTCTACATGTTTAATCATCCTTGTCTCCGTTGACCTGCTTACATCAAATGTCACTTGAGGGCGTAAGTTATTGTATTCAGACATAGCTGAGATCTTTTCGGTAAGTGTTGCCACCGGCTTTGATGGCTGAAACACGTGTCACTGATTTCATGCTAGCGACTTCCGGCACATTTCAGTGTTTGTTAGTCCTTGAATACTTGAAGTTAAAGCGCAGGACTGATCAGCCTAAAATGAGGCGCCTTAATTGAAGTCTCAGTGACAAACCGAATCACTGGCTCAAGAGGTTTCCAGATATGGCTAGAAATCATAATAAATAGCAATGAGACTGTAATTTCCCTAATTCTGTATCCTCCTGAACGACACATAACACATATCAAACTGAATTCGTTTTTGAATAAACAATTAGAATGGTCACTAGGAAGACAAGCATACGTTAGACCAACTGGAGCACGCAAAAAGGTCTACAGGCGCAAAAATCAACAAGTGAATAGAAGAAGCAGCGTGAATACAGGACTTCCAGTAAGTATAGAGAATTCTGAGGTGATGAAAAATCCTGACCAGCAACTAAAAACACCAACCCATAGGAATTCCTTGCTTTCATTTATTTCACTTAGACAACATTTTTTTCAACTACTGGAGACATGGACAAGGATTTCAGTGCCAATCAGAATCTTAGAAACATGATAGGCTTTCATTAACCTGAAATCAATGTGGAGATCTGCAGTGCTCAGTAGAAGGAACAAAACATGAACTTTTAACGCTAATGTCAAGTGAATAATTCTACCTGATTCACAGATATGGTGCGTGCGTCAGTCAAAACAACTCCGCCAACCTTTTGTAGACACTAATCAACACAGCTGTCTTCACTTGATACTGGAGATCAGATGGTTCAGTTGGAAAAGATACACAATAAAGATTTGTTATTCAAGTATTGGTTTGTAGGGATTTGGTTGATTGGTTACAGGATTTCTATCATGAGCTGATATTGGTTAGAGAACCATTGGAAAACCTGGGAGCACTGGACTGCTGTTTCGTCCTAGTTCGGGACTCGTCATCAGTACGCACCCACCAGGGTTCGAACTCAGGACCTTCTGGTTACAAGGCGAGTTCGCATACCATTAAGCCACTCTGACCCGATCCAATGGCCCATGAATTCCAACTTTTGCCATTTCACGACATAGCGAGACCCCTAGCCAATGTCTTCGGCGAGTATTTGTCCTCACACCCGACCTGCTGCATCCTACTGGTCACGACTTCTCACTGGAACACCAGGTAACTACCTACCTGAATAGGGCCAGTCGCCAGTGAGCATCTCACATTGATATTCGAGTATTGGTTTGTAGGGATTTGGTTGATTGGTTACAGGATTTCATCATGAGCTGACATTGGTTACAGAACCATTGGAAAACCTGGAAAAACCTGGTTCTCTAACCAATGTTAGCTCATGATGAAATCCTGTAGCAAAGATTTGTGACGGACAGAGAACCAATTAACATCCTGTTGGCCAGCAAATATGTAGAAGGAAGTGGACTGGATGTACTATAACAGGGAATTTTCGTACACGACAGACAAGTTATCGAGTGGGGCCCGAACAGGAAGCGATGAGGTGTGTGTGTGTTTAACAGTGGTTTATTATTATTGTTCCCTTGGGTTCCGAGTGGAACAAAGGACTTCATTCACACAGCTCTACTTCATTCTATCCTCTGTGATCGTCTTCAACTGGTTCGACAATTTCCCGTAGTCTTTCATCTCCTCTTCGCACGATCCTCTCAATATCACCCTCGAAGCAATGATTAAATCGTCATTCACCATTTGAGTTCCACTAGGTCATTGGCCTGGAATGCGATGTTATTGAGTGGTTTTCTCAGCGTGTTCTCAGTCCAACTGTATTTTCTCCTGCATATTCATGGAGCAACAGGCTTTTGGTTGGTTTGTTCCCAGAGTTTATGATTCCTAATTCTTTACGGACAAGGACATTAAATATGCGGCCAGCGATGTGGGCAGCTGTTAATAAAAGTCTGCAGTATAATGTTAGAATCGCTGTTCTGACCCGTACAGAAGAACTAACTCAAATAACATTTGTGTCAAAAATCCGAATTTAGTTCTTTATGCGGAGTGCATAAGATTCCTAAATTCATACCAAAGTGAAGAAGGTGTATCTTGCCTTTCCAATTCTAGCTGGCTTTGATATGCTCATCTGTGCCAACGCGTGTAGTTGAAACGATCCTTCCTAGATAAGTGACAGTGATTGGTACTAGTTGTTGTTGTTGTTGGTTGGTTATCTTCACCACTTTCGTCTTCTCTAGATTCACTTAAAGTCATGTCCTCACTGCCTGCTTCTTCTTCGAGTTAGTTGTTTTTCACCCGAAGGTAATTAGGTCTTTGAGTATTTATGACATGAAACATAAATCATCCACACGCGAAATCCAGATCTTCCAGAGTCTTCTTATCGGTCTGTCCAGCTTTATTCGCTACTTCTTACTCCCCACAGACTGACACACCACAATTAGAACATTGACTTGTAGAAGAATATCTATAGGGGAATGGAGAAAGCTTCTTTGCATTCATACAGCTATCTAAAGATGATTACAGAGAAGCGAACCCCCTGAAGATATGCTACCGAATCCCTATATTCCACCCGAAGTGTCAGGAAATAACAACGATGACGTCAAAAATGCGGAAACTATATGAAATCAATAAATATTGATTTGACGTGAGTAAAAATAAATCAATTGTCGAAAAAATAATGTTTCTAATTAGATGATTTTCATCACCAGTTGGCTTTTTCTTTGTACAATTGAGTAGTACAGTAATCAATAATAAAAAAATTTAAATAATAAGGACAGCATTGGCTAAGAGCACTGAATGTTAAGGCACAATGATAATAATAATTTTTGAAATCGATAAAGTCTACATAAGCAAAATAGATAATCTGAATCCTTCTCTCTGAATATTGTACAATTTCTAAACAATACAATCACTGTTATTTCCATCCACAGCATTTCCACAACTGCTTTTCTTTTATTTATTCACATTTCTTGTGTATTTGTGTGTTCGTTTGTGTGTTTGTTTTAATCAGATTGACATTTGCCGTTACCATGGTTACCATGATTGTTAACTTCCGGGCTGTGATGCTGAGCACTTATTGATGCAATAATTTTAGGCGTATATTCATAAGTCCATTTTTCAATTGTAACGCATAACCAAACACCAAACATTGGTCCTAACCAATAGACAATAATATGATGAATTGGTGATACTGTACCAAGTCCCCAGGATTGAATAAATGCATTGGCTGGATTTAAATACATTCCTGTCCATGTAAGACCTATGGGAAGAGACATTACAAAAAAAAAACAGAAAGTATATATACATTTTTTATTTTTTTATTTTTGTTTCTGATTACAGCTTGATTCCACACAGTACTTTTGGTAGAAGTATGGAATTTTCAGCATGGATATCGGTAGCCCAAATTTTGCAGGCCGACCATAGATATCAGTTGTGCGTCGGCAGGGGATCAAACCCCGGACCATGTGAATGGTCAGCGAGAGTTCTAACCACTGTGCCACCGACGCATATATATATATATTTATATACAAATTTGCATGTATCTGCAGGAGAAGTTACATTGGAAGGACAGAAAGAAGGGCATATGTACGATTTTCTGAACATGTACCAAAAAGCTTACGTCTAAAGGGAACAAATGCTTTAAACAGTGATATCGCCAGACATTTCCCTGACATGGGTTATGAGGTGGACGTCGAAAAGTCGTTCAAAATTATTAATAGGCAAAAGAGTTCAGTTCTCCTCAAGTTTGCTGAAGCCATTTCCATCAAGCACCTGAAACCTGATTTATGCGTCCAGAAAGAAGCGGTTATCAATCTTTCTTTGCCCTGATAACTAGATATTTTTCATCTCTCTGTCATCCGAATGCGAAATGCTGTAAAGTTTTCATTGTATATGATTATTATTTTTCGGAATAGTGTTTAATATTACTTATATATATATATATTATTACTGTATGCATATATTGATTGATTTTTGTTTAAAAATGAACTCTGTGCAAGTATGTTAAAATTGTTTCTGTAGATATACTTAATAACGGCTTTGGTCTGTATGCAGCTGATGAGAAGCTAACGAAATAAACAATGATGGTTCTACTTTATTCTGCAAAATCTCCAGAAAGTTTTCAAATGTAAGTTGAACAACTGTGCATATTTTCGCTTTTTATCGAAAGAGAAAACACATCAGTTGACTGGCTTTTCGAAGACTTTCATAAATTGCATCTTCAGTTCCTTCATTGGTCACTCTAAAATACATAGAGAACCAGATGGATGGATGTCCTACTGATCTTGATCAGACTGTCAGATGAAAAATTAGTATTTCATACAATGATTCCCTTTTATAAATTTGAACAAAGAAAGAAGAAACATTGGTGAAGAATAATGTGGATCCATTTTATTTCATCGAATCACATCAGCTGCGTACAACCTGAATTCTTTCATAAAATTAGAATAAAAAGTGTACAATTTTAACAAACTTTTGTCCATGAGCAAGCATATTTTCAGAGTGTCATAGTGAAATAAGGCATTGCGATTTACAAGATGTCCAAAGTGTTACGACATATATATATCTTGTTGGAGAGAAGTTTCTTGAAAAAAAATTAATTAACAAAAGAAAATTTGTAATAGTTACGCAATTACATAAGAGAAGATCAAAATTTCGGTGCAAATGAGGTCAGATGAGAAGTTGATGATGTTACACAGTGAGCAGAACTCAGAAGATCAAGAAAAATTATCTCTTAAGAGAGTCAAGCGATAAATAAAGGGGGGGGGAGTGAAAAGATAAGCTAACAAAATTAGAAAACAAAGAGTTGCTAAGAAGTGAGTCATCAGGATAATTGAAGTCCAACAACGGATTCTTTTTGGATACCTGGTGACTCACATCTTAGTAACTCTATGTTTTCTAATTTTGTTAACTTATCTTTTCACTCCCCACCCCCTTTCTTTTTCGCTTGACTCTCTTAAAAGATAATTTTTCTTGATCTTATGAGTTCTGCTCACTGTATTACATCATCAGCTTCTCATCTGACCTCATGTACATCATAATTTTGATCTTCTCTTATCTAGTTATGTAATTATTACAAATTTTCTTTTGTTACCACCCTAACAACACAACTGTTAATTAATTTTTTTCAAGAAACTTCTCTCTAACAAGATATATATATGTAGTAACACTTTAGACACCTTGTAAATCGCAATGCCTTATTTCACTATGACGCTCTGAAAATATGCTTGCTCATGGATAAAAGTTTGTTAGAATTGTACACTTTATTTTTAATTAAAAATGTCAGGTTGTACGCAGCTGATGAGATTCGACGAAGTAAAATGGATCGATATTATTCTGCGCCAATGTTTCTTCTTTCTTTGTTCGAAAAATTAGTAGATAAGCGGAAAAGTGAATTCAGTACATGAACTACATTGCAGATCCCATCAAGATCTAGTCTTTCAGTACTGTATGGATAATAATAGGCTTATGGAAATGAGGAGTAATATCTTTACAGAGATACGCAGCCACTGTAGATGGATATGTGTTCAGATATCCGTATTTTCTTTGCATAAAATCTGTTCGAGAAGGTATTGTGCTGTGTGTTACTGATAAGATTTTTCAGTAGTATATATAAAAAGGGATGTTCAACAGCACAAAAATCGTCAAATAACAGGGAGATACATTTGATGTCAGAGGAAGCAAATGAGACGTGATGGGAACACAAAGGAACACAACATGAAGGAAGGCGAGAAGTAGCACAACATGAAAGATCTTTGCAAATGATGATTTGAAGATGAGGTGTACATAATTTCGCTGTGTAGAGACACTTCACCAGTTCTTTTGTCTTCTACCGTTACAGTGTTGTTGTTCTTTTAACGTCACAAGTGATGTAGAGAAGTGAACAGGTCATGAAATAGCTTGATATGCTTTTTTCTGAGTGAATTTATTTATTGAAATTGGTTCGACCGTTTCATTGAAGACTGTAATCAAGAATAGGAAGATATTCTTAGGACACATATGATGGCATTATCCTGTATAACTATTTTTTAAACACTGTATTTGATTTCTAAACAAGACGATTTTAAATTAAGCGTCTTCACTCTGGCCTCATCTGATTGGCTGATTAAGGTCATTACAGCGTCCGTTCACCTGAATCGCAATAGTTTGTAGTAACCCTTTCACGTGCCTAGGCGAAAACTACAAGTGGCACACAGATGAGGATGCAGAAAGCAGGATGCAAAAGGCAAGGCAGACCCTCTGTTGTCTTCCGTGAGTATGGAAATCTACTGCTTTCAGAACAAGTCAAAACACTATCCAAATCTTCAACACTAATGTCGAACCAGTGCTTCTCTCTACAGTCGTATGCATAAACTCTAGTCATAATTTGACCGTCGTAAGGATAGTTTTTAGGAAGGTGTGTCAGCACTGTGGATTGTAATAAACATTTATCAGTCTAATTCCCATAGCTATATAATAATGCCAAATGTCAAGTGATCCATAAAGTCAAGCTTAGGAAAACCTCTGAACCGAAGACAGGAGTGAGATAAGACCGTCCACTAATACCGATGATATTTCTGATTTTGGTGGACTATATCATGCAACATACTTTGATTGGCGGATACTTTGGACTGGTAAGAAGATGGTGGAAGATCTGGGCTTTAGGGGCAATTTATCTTTGATGTTCTACAAGCTCAGAGATCTACAGGTGAATTGGTAGAAGTTGAAATTCATGGGCGCTGGCCATTGGATTGGGTCCCAGTGGCTTAATGGTCTACGAGCTCGCTAGCCTTGTAACCAGAAGGTCTTGTTTTCGAACCGTGACAGTAGGTGGGTACTTTGTAGAGTCCATTACTCCTAGGTCTTCCACTGTTTCTCTAATCTATATCAGCTCATGATAAAATTCTGTAAGAAAACCAACAATTTGCCAAGAGTGGTTGGCAGCAAAGACACATAACTTCAAGTGAACATAAACAATACAGTGGCAATGAAGATGCCTGACCAACAACAACAGCAACAAGTATCAGTTACCACCAGAGAAGAAATCTGAAGAAAGTCACCTCCTTCAGTTACCTAGGTAGCATAGTTTCATCTACGGGTTGCAGGGATGAAAGTGCCAAGGCCTTTCGGGATCAGAAAGTCCTTCATTAATCTCAAATCAGAGTGCAAACCTGTTGCATTCACATAGAGAACAAGATACGGATTTCCAAAACCAATGTCAAGTCACTGCTATTACATGGTTCAAAGACTATGCGCATCACCAGAATCATTTCGAACAGGCTCCAGTCTTCTATCAACAAGTGCTTTCTCTCCAGACTGAAGATCGGATGGCTATGGGGGAAGTGGCAGAATACAAGGAACTCCAGAAGGTAGCAAAATAAGCAAGAGTCTATTGTCCCAAAGATATGCATAAAGAAGTAGAGGTGGATTCAGCTGACACTGAAGCAACCTTTGAATGGTATTGCGAGCCAGGCCCTTGAGTAGAACTTGTATGAAGAACAACGAGTTGGTTGTCACTTCGAGGGTGACATGAAGGAGGTGATGTGAGCATATGAAATCTTATAGACGATCGTTGAGCCAGCCAGGAAAGACTTCAGAGAACCGGATAAAATGCAGATATGCTGGTGAAGCCGAAAATTACACTTTTAACCTAAGAGAATTATATAATAATAATAATAAAGAACACGAATGTGTCAGATAAAGAATAATTCCATCAAGAATAATCAAGATTTAACAAATCTAGGAGATTACAAGGAGTGAATCCAACTGTGCCACCGAGAACTATCTCGAAGATCCCAAACAGACAGTTTGCTCCTCCCTGTATGACTTAAACCAACATTCAGGGACTTCATGGATTGGCGCCATGTTTTGATTCAATCACATCCAGCTCGTTTACAGTCTCATCCCTATCACAGATAACATTACTCATCGCGGAAATTGATGACTAAGTATAATTATTGTTGTTTCCTTTAATTCCTAGAGAAACATGGGGCTTCAGCCATGCGTCTCCATTGCGTTCGGTTCTCTGCTACAGTTATCACCTGACTCCAAGTCCGACCACATGCTTTCATCTCCTCTTCACATGACCTCCTCCAAGTCACCCTTGCACTGACGACCAACTCGCCGCTTCCCTTTCGGCCAGGTTCCACTCGAGCAATGGCTTGTCTAGTGATGTCACTTGATAGTTTCCTCAGAGTATGGCCAATCCACCTAACTCCATTTATTCCTGCCTATTTATTTCACAATCGGTTCCTGCTGTGTTGGTTCGCTTCCAGAGATCCT